GAGAGCAGTGGAAATCTATGGGCCGGTCCTTGGGACGGAAGAGCCACTGCTGCTAGCAAAGCCCCACCACTAGCTCTGGGGATAAAAGGCAGGAGACGGAGATGAATAGATGTGACAGCCAACTAATCATCTCCCAGCCGGATGGACTTGTTAGCCTGCTGTGTGAGAGAGAAACATTTTGCTGGGGTCCTGGCGCTCCTAAATAAAGGAATCCTTGATTTAAATACAGAGGGTTTGTCATGTTTGGGGAGCTGGGTCATAACACACATAAACTGAATGGCATTCTCCATCTCTGATCATCCCAAAGTTGATCTAGATAACTTCAGTGCCAAAGTCAAACGGTCACTAAAGAAACAGTTGCAAGTTGAGGACTACCTGTATTTTTATGGACTCTTTACGTTCGTGTCAAGGGAAGCTACTGGAAAGAAGCAAAGGATTGGAATGAGGGTTCTTCCGTTTGATAGCATCGGGGTCCTACCTGCCTTCAATCCGAGCCTTTTCAAATCTTCTTGATAAGCCTTCGTGGCCGCTTCCTCCATGGCTGCAAAGTCCTTTGCCATTTTTTCGTCTGCTTTCGCCTTGTCCAAGCTTTTCTGTTTAATCTGCAATTTAAAAAGAGGATGGAGCAGGAATGCGTGACACAGGGTTTCAAACAACAACATTCCCTTCAGGTTGAAGGAGGTGGCTTTGCGTTACCTCGCTAATTTTCTTTGCCACATTTTCCTTGTGGTTCTTTCCTCTTTCGTGGAAATCGATGCTCTGTAAAAGAAAAAAAGGAGATGTTCCTAAACTAGAGACAAATTTAAACTTTACAACTATGTGTAAATACTGAAGCTAAGCACATCTCCCTGAGGCAGCTGAGGTAAATATTTCAACCTTCAAACCCTGTTTGAAGAACGTCTATCCTGTCAAAGAACCTGACCAGGAATGGTTTCAACTGCAATCAAATCAATGATATTTTATTCCTGCAGGCACTTTAGGTGATTTTAAAAGATGCCCTAAACCGTATAAATTTGTATGAGGAGTTTTTGAGCTCTTAAATAAAGGTGTCACTGAAAAGAACAAGCAAGGTTCCAAATTTAACCCCAACAATCCAGATCCAACTAAATCTGAAGATATAAAACATTAAACACACAGGCATTAGTTTATATTGCCTGCATTTATTCTACTCCGCCAGCCACAGGAAAAAGGCTAGGAAACAAACAACATATCAAATGTTGACCCTCTGATGAAACTTAAATTTAAAATGTTATAACCCAAATCCCAGAAACTTAGATTTAATCAGAAATCCATCGTACCGGTTCGTTGTCTGTTATCCAGCACTTGCAATAATCACAGAATTTCTTGGGCTGAGATTTCCAGTAATCGGCCCTGGAAAAAAAGATATTGGAAAGAAAACTATAGGACTTTTTAAAAATAAGAAAAAGATCTAATGGTCGGTCCATCAAATTTATTTGCCCTTTGACTTTACCTGTTTTTTTGTTTTCTTTTAAATTAAAAAGTATGTATGTATGTATGTATGTATGTATATGAACACACACACACACACACATAATTTTTGTCAGATGTGATGTTGTGATGAACGTGTATTTATCCCAAGCATGTTTAAACTCAGTTTTTGATCGATTGACCTACTATCTCTACCGGAAGTTGGTTCCAAGCTTCAGCTGCTTTTTCTGTAAAGCCATACTTTCTAACATGACTTTTGAACTTCCTTCCTGTCAGTTTCAGGTTGCACCTCTATGTTCTTGATTTTTGCTTAATATTGAAAATACTGCACTTGTTATGTATTGTACTGTATTATATTAGGCTGTTACTATGTTATGTTAATGTTATGTTATGTTGTTAAGAGTGTGTTAATAGCAATATACAAAATACTTAATACTCTAATGGTCATTTTGAAAAATCCTTTCTTAGTGAGCCCCTAGAAGCCAAGAGGAACATACGTGCTAAATTTTAAGTTTGTAGGCTTTATGTTTCTGGAGATTTTGTGATGATGCGTGAGTGGTCTTTTGCTTTTATATATATATAGATTATAATTATATGTATATTAGGCTACATTATATTTATATATGATAATTACATTATATTACATCACATCATATAATATTATATTAGGCTAATATATTATGTTATATTAGGCTGTTGTTATATATTATGTTAATTTTATATTAGGCAGTTATATTAGGGTATTATGTTATATTAGGCATTTATTATATTTATATTATATGATGTATTACATTATATCACATCATATAATACAATTATATTGGGCTATTATATTGTGTTATGTTATATTAGGTTGTTGTTACATATTATATTATGTTAATATATTAGGTGTTACATTAGGCTATATTAGGTTATATTAGGCTTTTATTATATTTATGTTATATATATATAAAACATACTAATTGTATTGTTATATTACCTTATATTTATATATTACTATCATATCATAGGTCAACTAAACTAGATTATGAAACATTGTAATCATAAATACATTATTCTATTATAAAACCATTGAAAGAAGCTTATCCATTATATTAATATGTTAGGCTTTTGTTATATTTATGTTAATTACATTTATAATACATGATATATGACATTATATCACATCATATAATAGAATTATATTAGGTAATTATATTGTGTGATGTTATGTTATATTAGGCTATTATATATTATGTTAATATTATATTAGGCTATGATATGTTACATTAGGATATATATATATATACACACACATACATATATACACACTCACACATGTACATATATACGTATACATATATATGGTATTCAGCTTTATTCGGGTATTTTCCCACTTCATTATAGTTGTGCTTTTAAAGTTGTATTATATATATATGTATGTATGTATGTATGTATGTATGGTATTTGGCTTTGTTCGGGTATTTTCCCACGTCATTGTAGTTGTGCTTTTAAAGTTGTATTATATATGTATGTATGTATGTATGTATGTATGTATGTATGTATGGTATTTGGCTTTGTT